ACTAAGCAAGATAAATCTAAAGAAATCAACACCTAAGATTTACTGTAGAAAAAATAGAGAACACAAAAGACAAACTACATTAAAAAATGTGACAGAAAAAAGATAACTTGGTAACTTTTCATAATAAAGAAATGACAATGTAGGCTGACACTGAACTTTTCAGCAGCAAAAATGGAACACAAATGACAGTGGAATAAAGTTTTAAAGTACTGAAAAGAAAAAAAATTGTCAGCCTGGTATTGTTTACTCCATAAACTTCCACTCAAGACAAAAAAGAAGGAAAAGTTATTATCAGATAGATGCAATTAGGAAGCATTTGCCACCAATAGTTGTAAACTAGAGGAACTATTCTTAAATGTTTATATTAGAAAATTTTTTAAAGATGCATACTTAATTAATGAAGTTCCAGCCTAATAATTGGCAAGGGCAGGGGAGAGGAGAGATGATCTAAATAAAATCCAAAGAAAGCAAAATAAAGGCAATAATAAAGAGCAGAAAATAATAAATTAGGACACAAAGCTACAACTGAATAAAAAAATCCCAAATTTGATTTCTGAAAAACAGAGAGAGGTTGTAAAACTTGTCCAAAGTTACATGGCTAACAAACAGAAAATCCTGGACTTATCTTGCTTCCATACTTCAGGTACACTGTATGACCTCCCAAAAAAAGCTAAGCGGAACAAAAAAGGTTGCTCTATTTGACTATATTAATCTTCATGACATTTATGTATCATGAAAACCATAAAACAAAATGCATCCAACATGTATAACTGGAAGAAGATCACTAATCAGAATATATTTTAAAACTCCTACAAATCAATAAGAAAAAGACAACAACCCAATAGACAAATAGGCAAAAGTCAACAACAAGAGGGTGGAGGAAGATGGTCAAATAAAAGCCTCTAGTGATCATCCCTCCCACAGGAACACCAAATTTTAACAACTAACTACATACACACAAAAAAAGCACCATCATGAGAAGCAAAAATCAGGTAAGCAATCACAGTACCATGCTCCAACTTCCTATCACCGAAGGAGGCACTGAAGACAAGTCTTGAATCGCTGATGCCACCCCTCCCCAATTCCATGGCAGTGGCCACGTGGTGTAGAAAGAGAGATCTATGCATTTGAGGGAGCAAGAGCATAGCCACTGGAGGATGGAGCATTGAACTTGGGGCTGCCCTGTCAGTGGAGAACAAAGCTATCCTGGGCTCAGCTAGCATTGAAAGAGGATTTGGACCAGCCCTAGCAAGAGACGAATGGCCCATCCCAGCAGATAGAACTCGAGATTCTCAGCAAGCCTTGCCATAGTGGGCTAAAGTGCTCTGGAGTTCTAGGCAATCTTGAAAGGCAGTCTAGGACACAAAGACTGTAAATTCTAGGCAAGTGCTAATGTTGGGCTGGGCTTACAGCCCGTGGACTAGGGCAGCACATGACCTAGGGAGAAATCAGCCTAGGTAGCTAAGGGAGTGCTTGTGCCACCCCTCCCCAAATCCTAGGCTATGCGGCTCACAACGATGAAGGTAAATAATTCCTTCTGCTTGAGAAGAGGAAAGCAAAGAGTGAGAGGACTTTGTCTTGCATCTTGGATAGCAGCTCAGCCACAGAAAGATACCAGGCAGAGTCATAAGACCACCATTCTAGATCCTAACTCTCAGAAAACATTTCTAGACATACCATGGACCATAAGGGAACCCACTGCCTGGAAAGGAAGGGCCCAATCCTGGCAGGGTTCATAACCTGCTGGTTAAAAAGCCCTTGGGTAGAGAATAACCAACAGTAATATCCAGGTAGTATACCATGAGCCTGGGGTGAGATTCTGAGACATGCTGGCTTCAGGTGAGACCCAGTACCTTCACAGCTATGGTGTCTATGGAGAAAGACTTCTGCTTGAGAAAAACAGAGAAAAAAGAAAAGGGGCCCTTGTGTTGTGTGCTAAGCACCAACTTGGCCATAGGTATGCAGAGTACCAAGCAGGCTCTTGGGGACCCCAAGTCAAGGCCTAGGCTCTTAGACAGCCTTTCTAGACCTACCCTCAGTCAGAGGGGATCACACTGCCATGAAGGGTAAGGCCCAGGCCTGGAAGCATTCAACACAAGCTTACTGAAGAGCACTTGGGATTTAAGTGAACAGCAGGGGTGGCCTGGCAGAACTCCCAGTGGGCCACTGGCTGTGGTGGCCACTGGAAAAGGCTGAGAGAAGTAAAATTATCCTTGTTTGCAGATGATATAATTTTATAGTTGGAGAAGCCTAAGCCTCCATCAAAAAACTATCAGACTGACAAATTCACTAAAGTTGCAGGATATAAAATCAATATAAAAAAATTTGTAGCATTTCTATATGTCAACACTGAAAAATCTGAAAAAGAAAATTTTAAAAGTAATCTCAATTAGAATACCCACAAACACAATTAAATACCAAGGAATTAATCAAAGAAGTTAAAGAGTCCTACAATGAAATCTATAAAACACTGATGAAAGATACTGAAGAGGACACAAAGAAATGGAAAACCATTCCATGTTCATGGACTGGAAGAATCAATACTGTTAAGATGTCCATACTACACAAAGCAATCTACAGATTTAATGCGATCTATATCAAAATATCAATGGCATTCTTCAGAGAAATAAAAAAATCCTAAATGTATACAGAACCACAAAAGACCCAGAATAGCTAAAGCTATCCTGACATAAAAGAATAACACTGGAGGAATCACATTACCTTACTTCAAAACAGTCACCAAAACAGTATGGTACTGTAATAGAAACAGACACATAAACCAAAGGAACAGAATAGAGAACCCAGAAACAAATCCACACACCTACAATGAACTCATTTTTGACAAAGGCGCCAAGAATATACACTGGGTAAAAGACAGTCTTTTCAATAAAGGGTGTTGGGATAACTGGATATCCACATGCAGAAAAATGAAACTAGACCCCATCTTTCACTGTATATAAAAAGCAAATCCAAATGGATTAAAGAGTTATATTTAATGCCTCAAACTATGAATCTACTACAAGAAAACACTGGAAAAAACCTCTAGGACACTGGTCTGGGCAAAGATTTCTTGAACAATGCCCCATAAGCACAGGCAACTAAAGCAAAAATGGACAAATGGGATCACATGAAGTTAAAAAGCTTCTGCACAGCAAAAGAAACCATAAAGTGAAAAGACAAACCACGGAACGAAAGAAAATATTTGCAAACTATCCATCTGACAAGAAATTAATGACCAGAATATGTAAGTAGTTCAAACAACTCTACAAGGAAAAAATCTAATGATGTGACTAAATAATGGGGAAAATATCTGAACAGACATTTCTCAAAAGGAAACAAATGACAAAGAGACATATAAAAAGGTGCTCAACATCACTGATAATCAGATAAATGTACATCAAAACTACAATGAGATATCATACAGCCCCAGTTAAAATAACTTTCATTCAAAAGGAAGGCACTAGCAAATGCTGGCAAGGACATGGAGAAAAGGGAACCCTCAAACACTGTGGGTGGCAGTGTAAATTAGTATAAACACTATGGAGAACAGTTCAGAAGTTCCTCAGAAAACTAAAAATAAAGCTATCATATGATCCAGCAATCCCACTGCCGGGTATATACCTAAAAGAAAGGAAATCAGTGTATCAAAGGGATATTTGCATACCATATTTGTTGCAGCAGTGTTCACAATAGCCAAGATTTGGAAGCAACCTAAGTGTCCAGCAACAGATAAATGGATAAAGAAAATGTAGTACAGTTACACGATGGAGTACTATTCAGCCATAAAAAGAATGAGATCCTGATATCTGCAACAACATGGATGAAAAGGGAGGTCAAAGTGAAATAAGCCAGGCACGGAAAGATAAACAATGCATATCCTCACTTATTTGTGGGAGCTAAAAATTAAAACAATTAAACATACGGAGACAGAGAGTAGAAGCATGGTTATCAGAGCCTGGGGAGGGTTTTGAGGGGGTAGCGGGTAAGTGGGAATAATTAATAGGTACAAAACATAGTTAGAAAGAATGAATATAATCTAGTATTTGATATCACAAATGGGTGACTACAGTCAATGATTTAATTCTACATGTTAAAATAAAGAGTATAATTGGATTTTTTCAACACAAAGGATAAATGCTTGAGGGGATGGATACTCCATTTACCATGACGGATTGCACTTGGCATACCTGTATTAAAGTATGTCGTGTACCCCACAAATATATGCCTGCTATGTACCCACGCACACACAAAAGATTTTTTAATGTGTAAAACAAACAAGAAAAAGACACAAACAAGTATTCCCTGAAGATAAAACATGAATGGCCAGTAAACAAATGAGAAGAGGTTCAACTTCATAGGTAATTAGGGAAATGAAAAATAAAAATCCAATGCAGTGATAATTTATGTGAGTTAGATTGACAAAAAATGTTTAAATCTTGGCAAACATGTAAAGTTTTGGGCATTCTTATGTACTGCTAAAAGATTTTAATTGGTACAGCCCTCTAGAGAAATAACTGGACACTATGTTGTAAAGTGTCATGTATCTCATGACTCCGGAATTCCACTGCTAGATATGTTTCCGAGAGAAATTATTGAACATATATAACTTGAAACATACACAAGGGTGTTAATTGCAAATAACTGGAAACATCCTGTGTTCATCAACAGAAAAATGAAAAAACAGATTGTGGTGTAGTCACAATGAAATACTATATATAGCAATAAAAATTAACTAAAATGACTCAATGACAATACTTTCCATCATGCTATTGAGTGGAAAAAGGAATTTATAGCATTTTTATAAAGCTCAAAACGAGGCCACACTGAATATATCACTTAGTTGTGTAGACAGGCAGGAAATAGATTATTTAAAAAGATAGAAAAAAGTATGTGTTTGCATACACTAAATCTTGAATAAATGTCATTTCTGCCTTCCTAATTTTCATCTGTTATTCAAGTATCACCTTTAGAAGGGACAAGAAAACCAATGGCAAACTTACCTGCAGAAACACTGGGGGAGTTCTCCTTGTCCATATAAAGGAAATAAAAATGGAGTATTGCCATACCGCCCAAGACAGCGAAGAAAGTTTTTGGTAGCTTTGAGACCATCTATGGTACTGCTGGCTGTGTGTGATGTCATTGCAATTGAATGCAGGACAATATATTGAAGATTGGGGGTTAATTTTTGGGTTTTTAAATATTCATAAAATGTAATCTCTTCATAGCCTATGGAAAGATGAAATTTTATCACTTACAATCAGAACTAAACTTCTATTTAAAACCACCCCACAAAAAGGAGATAAAGTGTGTTTCAAAGTCTTCACAAAGGCTGCAGGTTGGTATTACTATATTTTGGACAGTGAAGGTTGATCTTAGAAAAAAGTGAAAACAATCTTGCTCTCCTATTTGGAGTAATGGCACATTTTTAAGATTTAAATAAAGAATATTGATTGAGCATTTTGCGGATTAAGAAAAAAAACTAGAAAATAATAATTAAATGGGTTACCATAGTTTCCAATTACCTCACTTTATTGTCATGAAACCTGCAGGATAATGCCAATAATGGTACTTGAAAATATTAAAACACTATGACAACATGGGAATGTTGTGATTTATAATGATAAATATGTGAGTTTTGCAAAATGTATACTTCTCACTAATAGAAAATAAACTAAAAAATAATAAAATGAATTTCTGTGTGGCTACTATAATCAGTCTTTTGGCCATATAATCACATCAAAATATATGGGACCCTTAACAGCTACTCCTTTAAACCAAGAACAGAAAACTACATTGGACTGTTAGTGACGGGAAATCCAATCCCATGATAAAAGACAAAAGCTTTACAGAAATAATTTACATAAATAAAAATTATAAAAATTTACTGAGAGAATTTAAGTTTATACAGCCACTATGGATAACATGACAGAATCTTGTAGAATTGAAGGGTTAAGAGCAAGGATTAGAATTTTATTATTTCACAAAGGAAAAAAACTGCTGAACTTCTCATTATAACTTTAAATTATCAATAGTATATTTCAATTTTGGATAACACTTTCAGACCAAAGGACTTAAAAGTATACAGCTCTGATACTAAAATGGCATAATCAATTTTTAACAGACTGTGAAGTAACTGTCCCCAGATCACATAATGAAATAGATAAAAGCCAAGAACAGAAACCATGCCTTTTCTGAATCTACTATTTTCCCCCCATATACCATCTAGCTTTTTATTTTTCAAACAAAATTGTTCAAGATTCTAGGCAAATCCTGGAAAATGAGAAAATATATAGTATTTCCATTTATGACAAAAAATAATGGACTCATGAAAAGGGATTATCATCTATGAAGAGTCAGTTGACAGTAGCATTTAAATAATAAGAATAAAAATTAAAATCCAGCTTGCCACTTCAGCAATAATGAAAATATTTGCACTATAGCCATATGTGGCTATGGAGCCCTTGAAATATGGCTAATGAGACTGAGAAACTGAATGTTTTTATTTTATTTCATTTTAATTAATTTAAATAGCAACACGTTACTAATGGCTAACCTATTGAATAGTGCAGTTAAAATGCATTTTAAAACAATAGTAAGTGGCTCACTTATTATGCTTTAAGAAGTTTAATGCTTTAATATGCTCACAGAGCGAGCATATTAAAACAGTAAGAAATGTAAAATAATTGGAGAACACAACTTAATGAAAAAAATACCTTTATATTCATCAGGATATTTCTCATATTCCATACAAAATGTAAGAAATTTCATTAGCATTCGCTTTTCTACCATAGAAAGTCGTTTGCTATTAAAGACATCTGCTCTGGAACAAGGTACCTGAAAAATATTATAATTTTAAGTTAAAAAACTGCTTCCCAATGACAGAAGTATTCCAAATTATACTTTTTCCCTTTACATATAAAAGGATTATCATTTCCATTGTAGCCAGGCTTTTTCACATCACCTTCCATCAGTACTAATGGCATCTCTGCTAACTTCAGAGCTAATTGTGAGCTTTCTTACTTAATTCTGCCAAGTTACTCCTCATGCCATTAAAAGGTTAACAGCATCTCACCCTAACACAGAACAAATTTAGCAGTGCTATCTAAAACAAATACTGTGGTTCTCCCAACATACATGTTAGCACATTTTTATGCCTTTGCTCCAATTAATCTGCCTTTTGTGTGAGTTCATTTTTCAGTGAAACTTCAGAGGGTTCAGAGGGAGTGTTTCCCTTGGTCCCTACAGTTTTGGTGCCATAAGCAGGATAGCAAAGCTATGCTCTTCTGGAAACTGCAGTGAAGAACCCAGCATCTGATCAGCTGTCATAAGGGTCAGAATTGTTTACCAGCAAGGCTCCAGGACTCCTTCTGTCTGTGGAATCTGATCAAGTGGACAGTAAAAAAAAAAAAAAAAAAAAAAAAAAATCACTGTTTCTTTCTTTTCCCTCTCCAAAATCTTGATTAATGGGAGAAAAAAATGTGTGTGACTAGTCTTGGGTGTAGTGCCCCTGGTGTGCTTTTTGGTACTTCGTGCACTTTTTGGTACCAACACTAAGCTGCAGAATAAGTCATGAGAAAATTAGCACTAGAAATTTAATTTAGCATTTACATTTGTAAATCACCATACAGGACTGGAATTTCCTGCTTTATGAGGAAAATAACAATCTTATTTGCTTATCTTTCCAAAACAAACAATAATAACTTAAGCTGATGCCCAGTTACAATTCTTGATCACCACAGTACCTGTTCCACTCTTCCATCGCGAAATGCCAGAATCCTGGTAATATTTTTAAACTCTGCATATCGACTAACATTAGATTTGATTAGAAGATCAATTAGTAATCCTCGCGAATACAGCAGCTGTACAAAGAAAATATTTTAGAAGATAGAAGTTGAAATAGTGGAAAAATTGGGAAACAATAAAGATACATAATTTTGTTATATTTTTTATTATTTGTAGGAAGTATCATACCTATAGATATTATCATATATAACACAATCTATTACAGGTTTATAATTGATTAGCTGAAATTTGCAATCCAAAAAACTTTGCAATCCATAAGTTTTTTCATAACTTGTTTAGTAGCAAAATATGATCCAAACTGATAAGGCACTTCTGGCTTTGTTTGTCCAAATTAATGTAAATATTCATACATTTCAATGCAGAAATAATGTGTTTAGTTAGAGTGCCTCCTCAGACCCTGCTAATAATTTAACCTAACATATAACATTATCAGCATTATGTACTTCATTATTTCCTAAAATATTTTTTTTATCTTAATGACAGAACACACCTGAGAGTTTTGGATAAGAGACTACAGTCTTACACGAAGCCAGGTACTTATAAGAAGAAATCAGCCCAGTGAACCTCCCTACTGCATTAAAAAAGAAAAAACTATTTGTGATGTATTTATACTGAAAGAGTCAAATTATAAGGTCCCTCTGTAATTCTAGAAGTGTGGGTTTATATGAGATAAGTTGTTCTCAAAAATCGAAAATGATGGTTATTGCTGGCAAGTACGTGAGAAATTGACTTAATCTTTCAACATCTCATAAGTAGTATCAGAGAGATAAAAGCAATAATGTACGTATTATCTAGCCTGTTAACCGTATGGTTAAATGTAACAGATCTGACTTTTTCCTACATTAAGATATTCTTAAATAATGTCTGTAACTCAATAAATATTAAAAACATACGTTACATCTATAATAAATGGGAAAAAGAAAATTAGCTTTACTATACAAAGAAAAAGGAATCTCAAAAATCAATCTAAACCATTAATCTGAGCATGTAATAAGTCAGTAAAGACTACCAGTAAATCAATACCATTCAAGTAAAATTTTATAAACTAGTATTTCAGCATTCTGTAAAACCAAATTGACATTGCTTTTTAAAAACTAATCTCATTATCCTGATTAAATATGGCATGTTACTTCATTACCCTCTTCCTAACACACTACATAACTGATACAGCCCATGCCAATTCTTAACTCTATAATGATAAAAAATAGTTACTTCAAAAAACTCATTTTTTAAAAAGATACACATTTGAGATTCAAGGATCCCTGAATAGCCATAATAATTTCACAAAGACTAAGATATAAAACCAAAAAATGCATTTTTATTGAATAAGACCCAATAAAGCTTAAGGTTTAATGCCAGCTTGAAAAATAATGCATATAAGATACCACAGAAAAACGAAAACAAATTTCAGTTAAAATTATACTAGATTTTTGTTTCTGATGCTCAGAAATAATAAACGTACACCATATTAAAATCTAAGCCTCTTTTTCTTTTCTTTTCTTTTTTTTTGAGACCGAATCTCACTCTGTTGCTCAGGCTGGAGTGCAGTGGCTCTATCTCAGCTCACCGCAACCTCTGTCTCCCAGGTTCAAGCCATTCTTCTGTCTCAGCCTCCCGAGTATCTGGGATTACAGGCATGTACCACCACGCCAGCTAATTTTTTGTATTTAGTAAAGACGGGGTTTCACCATGTTGGTCAGGCTGGTCTCGAACTCCTGACTTTAGGTGATCCACCCACCTCAGCTTCCCGAAGTGCTGGGATTACAGGCGTGAGTCACAGCGCCCGGCCTAAGCCTTTTTTTAACCACCCTCTAAGTGATCTGCCACAGCAATTCTAAGTGATCTACCACAGTGATGAGGGGCTGAAGAGCAGTGCAATTTGATTACAATAATGGAAATTAGATTCAATAATTACCAATTTTTTATTCACTTAGCATGTTGATTCCATAATTATAAAGAGCATGGACTTACTTAGAAATGAACTTTCATTTTAAGAATTTCATCTTCGATCTTCTCTATTAGTCTGAGCAGTATGAAACTATACATATTTAACTAACCTACCCTAAGCTATTATTTTCTAAAAGGCTATATACATGAATGTGTATTGTAAACTGCAAAGCCCCACAGTATGTGTTAATTATATCACGATGTCTTTGAGGTCAAATGCATATAGAAATGTCAAGTAGTTTAGAGATACTGAGTTAGACTTTAGAAAAGAGGTAGGGATCTGGCCAAGCGCAGTGGATCATGCCTGTAATCCCAGGACTTTGAGAGGCCGAGGAGGGTGGATCACAAGGTCAGGAGACCGAGACCATCCTCACCAACTCGGTGAAACCCTGTCTCTAATAAAAATACAAAAATTAGCCGGGCGTGGTGGCATGCGCCTAAGTCCCAGCTACTCAGTAGGCTGAGGCAGGAGAATGGCTTGAACCCACGAGGCAGAAGTTGCAGTGAACCAAGATCATGCCACTGCACTCCAGCCTGGTGACAGAGCGAGACTCCGTCTCAAAAAAAAGAGGTAGGGCTTTAAGATAGATATTTGGCAATCGTCCTAAACTTAGATGTTATTAACTGCAATTATCAGAACAGATGAATTTCTAAGGAGTGACCAATTGCCCCAATAGCAGGGAATACATGCTTTCCATTCAGTATGCATTGAATATGTATTAAATGACTTACATTTTAAAAACTGACAATAAATCTCCTGTATTATTGTGGTTACATGTGATTTAGATACTTCTGGTTTTGAAAATGAGTACAATAAATGATTCTTAGTTATTTTGTAGAATCTATTAAAAAATGAAAACTCTGCAGGACACAGTCCCAACTGCCTAGTCCACTGCCTCTAGACAGGTTTGGTTTTTACTTACAGTAAGAGAACTGGTTACTGCTAGCCATTCAAACCGATGAACATACCCAGAAGTCTCCTTCAGAGTATCTTCAAATGTGTCAAACTTCTAATTTAACTGTATTTTTCCTCCCACAACCAGCATTCATTTTCTTATACAACTGAGTAATTTTCTACACCAATTCCTACAATTAAAACACTACCATCTTCTACCACTTCCCTTTGCAAGACACATACTAAATTTCAGCTAACATAAAGGTTACAGACTTTTATGAAATAGCCTTGGTTCTTAACCACATTTATATCATCATTTATTTAGGTAAAGCATTCCAAATTCCAAGTAACTACTTCAAAATGGAATTTTCAGACAAGGCCCATTTGTTATTTGACTTCTTCTGTTTTTATGTTTTGTTTAACCTATTTCACAGAGTATTGTTCATGGGACCAGGAAGGTTATTAAAGAGCTAGGATTAAACTTCCATCCACAGATGAACAGCCAAGGTAATGTGGAAAAAACGCTAGATTTCAAATCATGATAGGGTCAAAGCAAACTCAGAAGGTGGGAGAAATAGTGCGGAAGCATGAAGTAGAACCAGTGCAATAGCCAATAACGCAAAACCAGACACAGAGTGCTACGTGACAGACAGAACGATGGGTAGTAAAAAAAATTTATATTTTCAGACATCAAGTTCAAAGGGAGCAAGAGTATGAGGATATGGGATTTGCAGAAACAACTTGTGGAGGGGAATGTATTGGTCCCTCTCCGTTCCCCTGGAACTTGAAGAAAGTACATTAAATTGAAAAGCCTAGTTCTGTGCTAGTTCTGTGGTAAGTCTGATGTTATTTACTATCCTCTCCTACTTCTTTTCAATTCCTTATTGTTTGTTCTCAACTTACAGGATTTAGTCTCTGATTTTCTCTACTGTTACCCTGCCCTGTATTGCAACCCTTTAAGGCCTAAATCCTTTAACTTACTGGTTTTCTATTGTTTTGCACTAAAATAGTCTTGCTTCCTATAAACCCAATGCAACATTGTACCCTTTAAGACCAAGGGACCTCCTGTGAAGTTACAGTGAACTAACGTTCAAGTTAGTTATGTTCAGGAACATAACTGAAGACAATAGCTTTCTTCCCAGCCTTCCTGCCTCCATCACTATTAAATTTTCCTCTGAAGCTTTCAAACCTGAACACATGATTTTTTTGTGACTTTAAAAAAATTATACTTTAAATTCTGGGATACAGGTGCAGAACATCCAGGTTTGTTACATAGGTATACGCATGCTATAGTGGTTTGTTGCACCCATCAACCCAACATCCACATTAGGTATTTCTCCTAATGCTGTACTATCCCTCCCCTAAACCCCCAACCTCCAACAGGCTTCGGTGCGTGATGTTCCCCTTCCTGTGTCCATGTGAACACATGACTTTTAAAAATGCATTGGTTTATTCAGAGTATTCATCATAGTATAGTTGTAAAAATAGTTACTATACATAAAGGCTAAAAGAATTGATAGAAACTGACTGTAAATAATTTCTATACATAAAGGCTAAAAGAATTGATGGAAACTGATTGTAAATAATTTCTAAACAGGTCCATTAGAATTTTTCTTTTGATAGAATTCCCAGTGTCCATGCATTAAGAGAATATTAGGTTGTACTATGTGCTCAAGTACAAACGTATTCTTCAAGTATAGATTAAAAACATATTTAAAGCATTTTAATGTGAGCACCTTAAATGTGTTTTTAATCTGCACTTAAGGAATATTTTAAATGAATTACAAACTTCTGGCTAGTATCTCTTTACAAAACAAATGTTCTGCATCTCAGAGAATTACAAAAATTGGGTTTATGGGCTCATACTGTTTTCAATGCAAAGATGGATAAAATTGGTACTTACCTTTGATACTAAATCAATATTAAATCTCCTGCCTTCTTTAATAATTTGCGAGTAAGTAATTCTATTTTTCTTTGGTTGCTCTGTGGTATCTTCTGCTATAGGTACATTTTCACTCATTTCCTCTGTTGAAGCTGATGGCACACAAGTTTTATCATCACAATGGTTTTCTTTTTCCCCTGTCACTTCAGCACCATTTACTTCTTGTGCACTCTCTGAATCACTGCTTGGAGTTTGTTCTATGAGCATTTCACAGCTCACAGTGCTTAATGACTCATCCTCCGTAGGCAGGCAGGCAGAAGCTGCAGCTTCTGTGGAGTTTGTAGATGTAACAAGAGCATGATTTTTCTGCAGTGCACCAGCTTCTTCGACATCTTCATGCAAATCCTGACTAATAAGAAATTATAATAACAATCAACACCAGACTTTTGATAATTCTACCCTGCTACATTTTTATACTGCATCAACTTTTCACAGCAATTTTTACTCCTTTAACTCTTTTATCAAGTTCAGTGTATGTTTTGGTTATGTGACTCAGACATTGAACATTCATCTGTTAATGTTTCAGTAAAATGTGAAACACAATTAAGATTTGAAAAATATAAAGATTTCATGTCACATGCACATTTTTAAGAATTTAAGGCAGACGGGAATTGTATTTTGGAAGCAAATTACTACAGTGATGAAGAACAGTCTTTTTTTTTTCTCTCTTGTTTTAAATTGTACTTTAGGTTCTGGGGTACATGTGCAGATCATGCAGGATTGTTGCATAGGTATATACACGGCAAGGTGGTTTGCTGCCTTCATCCTCCTATCACCTATATCTGGTATTTCTCCACTTGTTATCCCTCCCCACCCCCGCTGTCCTTCCCCTAGCCTCCCACAAATGACCGCAGTGTGTGATGCTCCCCTCCCTGTGTCAACACCAGCCTATGAGTGAGAACATGCAGTGTTTGGTTTTCTGAAAGAACACAGTCTTAAGAATAACCGATCTTGGTTCAAACCCTGACCGTATGACTAGTAAGCTCTGTGAACTTAGACAAGTTATTTATCCTCTCTGAGACCACCTAAATTATCCGTCTATGACACAGACATAATATCATCTATCTTACAAGGTTGTCTTGAAAATTAAATTAAGTACTGCACGCAAAGAGCCTGACACAGTGCCTGGGACATAGTAAATGCTCAACAGTGGTAGTTATGAAAGATGATTATTATTGAGGAATTCCTGACTTGGCGATATGACAGAAGACCTTCAATAAAGGGGAAAAAAAATCTGCCATGAAAATATTAAGTTGGCCTATCACAATGTGGTATCTAATAGGACCTTTCTGTATAATTTCCTGCCTGTTTTAGTACTGATGTTGATTACTCTAGTGGAAGCCCCATTTCCAAATTTATTACTAGAGTTAACATCCTTAGTTCATCATTGTCTTGATTTATAGAACAGGATCCCATTCAGTCTGCCTGCTTTATGAATATCTCTATGATATTTTATCCTCTACAGAACCCATTATTTTCACTGAGTTGCCACACTGCTCAATACCTGGCACAATGCCTTGCACATGATAGGCCTTGGCAAGTAAAAATCTGCTAGCTGACTGCTCAAGAACTAACAGTAGCCCTTCCTTATATCAAACCTAAAATCTACCTCACAAAAAATCTTCCTCTTCCTCAAATAGCCTTCCTTATTTACCAACCTTCTGGTTTAATCTCCACCTACTTTCCACCAGAGCATCTCTAAATCCGAATTTATCAATTCTAATCGCCAAATCGTGACAGTTTGTTTGGTTCATATTATGTTTCTTTCGTGCTTTTCTTCCCACACTGCATATCATAATTCTTCCATTCTCAAACATAATCACATACGTTAACAAACTACTTTAAGAAAAAGTTTAAATTTCACTTCCAAGAAGTCTTCTTTAACCCAATTACACTCATCACTCTATTATAAGATGCTCCCATAATACAGATATGCAGTTTTCCTTGCATGTATTTATCCATTCCTTTTTAATAGTCCTTTGGTTTTCCAGTGTATGCTTTATCTTCTGAGTCAGACTGTAATTCCTTGAGGGAATACATTAACCCCCTCCTTGTGTGCCCTTCACAACACCTACCACACTGCTCTATAGATGTGGTATCTGATAAATGCTTGATGAATAATGGTTTATACATGCAAAGGATATTTTTGTTTCAAACATGAAACAAACTTATTGCAAAAAACACGAAAAATAAGGTCAAGAACAAAACACTGTATTGTAAATCAGAAAGTCTGGGTTCAGTGAAAAAAAAAAGTGCCTCATTAAAAATAACACAATGAACACTGTGATGAGATAAGCCACACTAACAATTAAAAGTAGTTTATAAACTCTAAAAGGTTAATCAAATACGAGATACTAATCAAAAATAAGGCAGTGTTAAACTACCACAGCTCAACAGTCAACTCAAAACCTGTATAACAAGGTTTTCTGAATTCACATGATGAAAGCTCTTTGGCCACATAAACGCACCATAGCATGGCCATTAACAGCATTAAGAATGAAGAGTGATAATATGAAAGGTGATTCGTCTATTTTCTACAGAATTGTTCAAACTTTGTATTCACTTTTATTATTTTGAAAACCAACAAAACTAAAGTGTGTTCCATGAGGGATCTAAGGTGACAATTTTCAGCAGAAGTTCCACGCCTAAATTTTTTTTTTTTTCCGGCAAAAGTTCCATGCCTAACTCTTAAAGCAAAAGTTCCATGTCTTTAATTTTAAGAAATGACAGGAAAATTAATTACATTTTACAGATAAAACAGAATATGGCAACTTCTCTTATTACAGACTATGATGATGACACCGTGGAAATTGAACATAGCAAATGATCTAGTCAGTGGCTCTCTATTACATTCTATGATAGGGGACCATAGAGAGTGAATGAAATATATTAACCAGTACTGGACAACCTGGAAGATAAAAGTCAAAATACTTAATTAAAGGTATAAGCAAAGAAAAAATTATTCTTTGCAAATTTTTTCTGTATCATTAACTATCATTTTACTGTTCTCCACATTATAATTTGGTGAGATTCCTAGCACTACAGAAAACGCAAGCAATAAAAACAATATATTGTCCTCACTTCCCATTAAAAATAACCACAGTATTTCTGGAGTTCTGCCAAGGTGGAAGTCAATACCTAATGAAAAGATATAAAGATAGCCAAAAATTCCTAAAACTCCATTTATGTCCTCAGTAAGCAAAATTCTGTTCATCTAAAAGGGCTATCTTCCCCAGATTTAAAACTTTTTAATGTGGTAAAAGACATTTTCTCAAAAAGATATTCAACCTTTCAGAGAAAACCTCAGAATACAGTAATAGTTCAATTCTATTAATTTAAAAGTATTTGAAAACTACAAAAACACATTTACCAATTACAAAATAATGTAGATGCATTATAAGCCCTCAAATGAACCTCGGTGTTCTAAGATATTACAATGATTTTAACATACACAGATGCTGCTTGACTTGTTACAGGGTTACATCCTGATAAACCCAATATATGTAAGACAAAATGCATTTAATATCCCAATAAAACCATTACAAAGTCAAAAAACCATAAGTCAAACCATCATAAGTTGCAGACTGTTGATAAAGGAAAACAATCTGCATCATTAAGGTTTTATAAAAATTTGCATTATCAAAATTGATTTCACAAATTAAATCGTGTCATTTACATTGCTAGCTTTAATTCCAAAGGTCACTTATAACAATAATTTTTAGATAATTTTTCTTCACAAAAACTGCTGAACACTGCTTTTTGTAAGAGTATTTTTCACTGATTGCCACAATTCATGTATTACTCTGAGAATTTGGAGGTATAAATTATGATATCATCTAGTACCGCTTATCAATTAATAGTTATAACAAAGAAACACCTCAAAGTGAATGTGTCTTATGAATACCTTGTAACAGTCAGCCTTTTAGATGAGTCAAATGAAAAACTGAGAACCAGGTGTTTAATTTATTCAGCACAGGTGTTCACCATTTATTTTTCAGCCATTTGCACCTTTTCTTTCCCAATTGACTTGCTACAGATATTGTATTCTTTGATGTTTATACTTTGTTCTAAGGCCATTTATTTCTGATTTTCCCAGTATATATTTTCCTGCTACCCAGCTGTTTATTCCTAAAATAAATGTTTAATGGCTATACATAAGAATAACAAAAATCAGACTATTCAAAAATTGTTGTTCTAGACGATGCAACACAAAAAGTGAAATCAATTTTGAATTGCTGCAATATGATACACTTGTAGATATAGATGTCCCTGTTTGTTACCAACCTAAAACATTAACACATAGTGTAGAATATAGATTAAATATCAACCTCTTGTCACGTTTACCCAAGAACAAAACTTCATAAAATGGTGTGCAGCAGGTACTGTTGGCTGCTTACTCAACAACAATTACCCCTTTCTCCTTGCTTCAAGAGCCCCAATTTTGTTCCAATTTTAGACAGAAGTTGCTGAGTCCTTGGGGATGGATCATGACAGATTAAAACCAATTATGATAATTGTACTTCCCTTTGCTGGTGATTGATTTAGGCGTGAGTACATTACCAAGTTTTAGCCAATAAGATAATGAAGAGTCTGCTGGGGGCCTTTGTTGATGACTTTCCAGTATAATAGAAAAGCATAAATATGTTAGGAAAACCTCTTCCCTCTTTTTCTCATGTTTAGAGATTTTTTGTTATGTGAGATCCTCTTTGAAATCCTGGCAAACATCTTGTAACTCTGAATGGAAAGCTAAGAGAAGTAGAGAGTAGCTGCCCCAGTGCTCTGATAGGCTGAAGCAGCACAATTACAAATCCTCTACCTACCCACCCACCCACTTACCCATGTACTTGTTTAAATCACATTTAGTTGGGCACTGTGTCACTTCTGGCCTAAAACACACTTAACTGTAGACAGTGACAAGTAATTTCCTCCAAATTGTAAAAATTACAAGTGATTTTACATTTTATTTTTATTCCTTTCTTCTAATTGGTATTATTGCTCAAGAAGCTCCTATGGCTTGTATAATTTTTAAGTTAAAATTTAAGAATTCAAAATAAATCAGTAGAATTTTAGATTCCTATTACCAAAAAAATCTTTATTTTTGATATGAATACATTAGAGAGCTGGTTCATTTGAATGTAACAAACAAGTTTTCAACCTGCTTTAATACTATACCAGAAAAAGGGAAACAATGTTCAATAAAATGCAGAAAATATGGCAGAAAACATACAAAGTTATTGTTAACATTTTAGAAAGATAAAATCTCTTCTCACTAAATAAACTAGATGACATTATGCAATTAACAAGCAACAATATTTTACCTAAGAATAATCTGAGTTTGTGTGACTTAAG